AGTGTTTTTCTTTGTAGCTGGATTTGTTTTTTTAAAAAAGATTTTTAAGAAATCACTTTCCAAACTTTCTTGTGTTTATTTGCTGTTAGGAAAGTTGGTAAATAAAAAACACTTTACAATTAAAGGAAAATTTGGTTTAATTTTCAGAAAAGTATTTTCCTGGAAAATTTAGGAGGAAAACACTTTTCGGAAGTTATGAAAAATTTAGAAATATCATTATTTACTGATTATATCAAATTTGATCCTCAAACTTTTGATTGCTAAATATATATTTTGTTTTGAATATTTATTTTTCAATTTCATTTCTTAAAATTTAATTTTTATATTAATTTTAGTTCTTATTTTTATAATTATTATTTGCTTTTCTCCTATTATTTTTTATTAAAAATTTTTATCTATAAATTTGGTCCTCATTCTCTTGAATATTACTTATTTTATTTGAGATACTTTATGAAATGTTAATTATTATTATTTTAATTTCTTCATTTTTTTTTAGATTTGATGTTTATTATTTTGATTATTATTTATTTTATTCAAGATAATTTATGAAATTTTTTTTTTTTAATTTTATTATTATTTAAATTTTTAATTTATAAGATTTGTTCCTCATTATTTTAATAAACTTGAGAAAAATAAAATATTAATAAATTATTTTCTAATTTATTTTCTATAACATAATCAAATACTGGAAAATGTTTTCTAGTTTATTTTTTATAAAACTATCAAATACTAGAAAATAATTTATTTTTAAAGACTTTATTTTCCTTGAAATTTACTTTTTTAAAATTTATTTTTTTTAGAATTTACTTTTTAAAAACAAAAAACTTTTCTGCAAATAAAAATAGCCAAATAAACTCTCCCTTTCTCTCGATTCTCAAAAAAGAAAAACATATTTTTAAGCTTACTGCACTCAGAGAAAATCTATAAATTAGCATACATGACAATGCAAAGTTACAAGTTTAAATACAATTAATGTGGTGTCATATTCTTTTCAACTTGCTCGCTGTCAATACATGTCTATCTTTTGTACAAAAACAATCCCCTGTTAGAAGAGAACCTACCAGCCTAGACCAACAACATAGCGAGGCGTAACAACTAATAACAAGCATAATTTTTTCATCAATAATATAATTATCAACATCTTATTTTTCTCTATTTATTTACAAGCCAAATACAGAAAAAGAATAGACCACCCAAGAAAGTGAAAGACAAGAAAAAACAGAAGAGAGAGGAGGAACAGAGGGTTCAAAGCAAACCACCGTCTTCGACTTCGCCTGCCTGCATAGGTATGTTCTTCATTTCCCTCTCCTTTGTAATTACATGGGTACTATACAAATTTAATTTACTATTTACCGTCCGGCCAATATATACTTCACTGTTTCTTGCATGCACACTTCAATTAGTTCACGCGTGCCTCCTGTACAGCGGGATTACTGGTTTAAAGCCGTGACTAAGCTGGGCTATTGGATATAAGCCAATATATACAGGTCGGCATAAATTTAATTTTAAAAAATTAAAAACAATAATTTTTTAATTTAAATTTTATGAATTTATTTATTAATATCAGAATTAGAAATACTATATAATTTAAATTATGTAATATTTATTAATATTAGAGTTGATAATATTCATAGATAAATATTTACTAATACTCAGAAATATAAGACAAATTCTTAATAATTTAAAATAATTAATAACGC